TCCCGATGCGACTTAATTTCACTTGTTTTTTTAAGTCTTGGTAATTAGTGTCACTGGCGATGAAGTAGTAAAAACGCAATTAATCGCAGTGCAGCAACTCGGCATAAACCATCCCGACGCAATGGGCAAATTATTACTACCCTAGTATTTTGGGTTTGCTAGCTCCGCACCCTTGATAGACTTGGTAACTTCTTGTAGACTTCCGTTTTTATCACTGTTTTTGTAAGGCTAACTATGCACAAAGGCGGGATTACCTTTCGATCAATACATGTTATTGTTTTAAAGATGTGCTAGACGAGGCTGACACTTGTAAACAATACAACGTGAATAAGCATCGCGGGCAGGATTTCAAGGATCGCGGGCGAAACAAAAGCGACGTGGCTGTTTGTCTAAGCGACGCGGGCCCGCAGTGCTTGAAAGGCCTGGGAAGAACACTGCAAGATAACAGAAAAATTTAGCTGGCTTTAGTTCAAGTATTTTGTACAGGTGTCTGTCAAAAATGAATGATTCACTGAGACAAATATGAACTGCCTCATTGTGTGACTACTGTATTATATGAAAAGTAAAAAAAACACCCTTTATGAAAAGCTATCATGTTGCAAGCTCTGCTTTGTATGCATATCAACTTAAATAGTTGGTGTCCAGTGGAGGGAGAAGTCAACAGTACTGTTGCCTCCTGAGAAACTACATCTTCAAACACTGCAATCTCTGAAGTGCGTTTTTAAACTAGTATTATAAAAACTTATTCATTCTGTTCTAATAGCTGAAACATATTCCTGTGAGTTTTCATTTTTCGAATGAACTGTTTGTCAAATACAGAATACATATATTTTAGAATAATTTTCTTTTTAAAATGTGGATGAAATGTTTTGCTTTTAATGTATTTTTTATGTATTGTTTTTGATTTGATAACTTTTGACTACACAGATTTTCTATTAGCTTCAGATCTTGATCAAAGTTTGGCACCCAGTTCATAACAGTGCTTATATTGATTTTCTGACATCTTGTTTTCTGTAAAGATTTTATTGGTAGGTTTGCAAATGTGTATCAGACTGTGCAATCTCTCCATGAGTTGGTTTTGAAACCCAGTATGGGATTCTGAGATACATTACCAAGGATATTATTACAAGATAAATCATTTGCTTCATTGAACACATACAACAATGCATATTTCCACTGAGATCAGTGACCTTTGATGTGTATCACCAGTGATCAGTCAAGTAGAAACAGTCAAAATATTTTATCAGATTTTCTCAATTTTTGCATGATATTTTCATACAGGACATCTGTTGTTCAAACTCAGGGAAGACTTTATACTGATGAATAAGGTGACCAAGTTTGATAAAGTTTGGAATAGAATTAGTAAAGTTATTATGCACACAATAACAATTATTAACGACGACGACAACAACGCCGGACAAAATTTTTCCCTTAATATACTTTTCCCTTCCATCTTTGATGGTACGGGCAAGGTAAAAATGGACAATGTGTATTCAGTATTGTGGCAACAAGGGAACATGCCCAGGAACTCAAAACTTGTCTATTTGCTACACACTTTTCTTTGACAATATTTATTATATTCTTTTACTCTTTCAAATTCTTTCTTTCTTTTTTGTATAAATTAATACATTACCTGTAATCCGTCTTCAGTTTTTAAAAAACAAACTTTTTTGGTTTTCCGAAGATGCAGTAATGTTAATTCAAAAGTTTTTTCATCTTTGCAAAGGTGCTGGCATTTCTGCCACAGAGATGAGTATTCTATAATATTATCCGTTGATTCAAACTCTACTGATTTAGAATGTTCAGCGACTATAGCATCAGCCTTTTCCTGAAAAATAACAATTACATATTACTAGTTGATAGTGAATGATACAGAAAAATCTGGAGAACAAAAAACAGCATAATTGTGCGATCGGTTGAAACTTTAGAAGCCAATGAATTACGAAAATCTACTGAATAAGTAGGTGGTTGAATTACACGTACATGTACCGGTACATGTAGGTAGAATTTTAACGGTAGTGAGGTAATTAACAGTGAGGCATGAATTCAAAAATGTTAGTCCCAAATCAAAAAACAGTGTAGCAATATCACCACAGTGCTTTATTTTACCACCACACTCGTCAGGGATGCTGGACATCTCAACCCAAAAAAATGTCCACCCATTTTTCATTGGACATCTCGACCTACACATTTCAGACACAAACAATGACAACCCACCACCTTGACCCGACCTGACTGACCTCAATGACATCATACTTTTTCCTGTACATGTCTACCACTGTGTTTGTTTGTGTAACTGAATTATTATTTTTCCTTTCAAGTAATTCTTCAATGAGATGATGCTGGAACGTGTTGTTACTAATATTGACAAGTAACAAATGGTGTGAGTCAGTGTCATTAACAAGTCATTATCCTGACTGCCACAGTGCTTTGTTTTACTGCCACACTGGTCTCACACCACCACAGTCATT